TGATACTCTAAGATGCTTTTGAACTCTGGAAAATACCATGGATAGCCAAGAAATCAAATAAATAGAACAAATCAATCCAGAGTTTTCACTCAAGATACAAATGACTGGGCTCAAATTATCACATTTTGTTTACATTATGCTAAGGTGCATAACAAGAAGTCCATTTTATTGGAAAGGTAGAATGAAAGAAAAGAATAGGGCAACAAGCAGCAATGTGGATGTGGATCACAGTAGTAATGGGTATATTACGACTTGAATTGAAGGACCTGGTTTGGGCAGTTCATGTTGTTGCTAAGATTTAACACAGACCTGATGGCACATAATCAGTCTGGTTTAGATAATGTAGGTGGAAAAATATTTCACTTATGATATGGTGACCATAGTTATATTCTAGAAAACAAACCACCTTCACTAGGCAGATGCTTGAGGGCAGAAAACATATTTTACAAGTGTTAAAAAATCCATTGTTGCCCATTATAAGAGAAATGTTACTGAATACATTCCAAATCTCTAGAATAAATATCCAGCCAGCAAAGTAAGAAAAGCTGTCTAAAATCTAGTTACATGCAGCAATTGCAATGAAATATTTGCCATATAATTCAGAAATCAACACCATGTTTTTATCCTAGTACCTTTGATTATAGTCATTTAACAATTGAATATAAACCAAATGAGATTATCAATCCTCTTAGAGAGACACAGCCTAGGACCCGGAACTGTAGGGTAATGAAAATGGTTTTCTTTTTAGTGAAATATTGTTTGAAAATTTCCCTCACTTTTTTCCCTGTTCAAAGTGTTGCTGAAAGTTGCTTAGGCTGATATTAGAAAGTATTTTAGTTTAGCCCCTGTGATAATTTAAAGGATAATTCAAAGTTTCTCCTTTCAGTTACAGTATGGCAAAACAAAACCTACTACACTCCTGAGATTATTAAAACTATTAAAACTGTACACCTTCCTTCCTTAAATAAGGAAAACTGGTGTTTGATGACTTGAAAGGAAAACACAAGTAAACTGGATGTTTCAATGACCACCATGCTTTGGGTGCAGACCTTTGATTACAGAAGGACAGAGACATGGTTAAGAAATTAGAATAGATCTGAGCTTGATTTAATTAAGATTAGTCAACCCAATGGGGTTGGACTAGGCATGATTGGGACTACTGAAAATTTTCAGAGATATAAACTAGATTACATTTTTTTTAAAAAATGGCTAAGCAAATCTTAAATATTGTTGACAACCACAACATTCATTGACTAACAAAGTTGAGCTCAATTCATTTTCATTTTTCTGAAAATGAAGATTATATAGATATATAAAAAGATACTATACACTGAAGAAGAAGCAAGAGAAATTCCTGCCTAGGGTTCTTTTACATATAACCAGGTGACTGGGCTCCAAAACCCCTAGAGACCCAAAACAAGCAGACCTGGTCTCTAGGCAACACCTAGGGGCAACACAGGTACTCAAAGGCTATGGTTTACTATACCACTCTTCACCTAGTCCACTACTGTTCTGGAGAACAATAAGTAAATTTGCCTTAGGCGGATTCAGACATTGTGAACGAATACAAACCATCTTCTCTCTCACTCCCCCACTAACACCACAAGTCCAGCACCACCACACCCAGCCACACATTGTTGAGCTGGCTAGTGACAGGTCTTAAAGGGACCAGCAACCCAGATTTGACCATTTTGCAGGCAGCCTGTCTTCTCACACAGCCACAAAGCCTTTCAGTGTGTAATATTGATGCCCCACAGTTCACAGTAGGAAGCAACATGAAGGATTGGTCCAGCTCTTATTGTAGAATGTAAGAATTAGATTGGCTTCTTTACAAATATGTGTATTCCCTACGATCCCCACTAGTAGACAACCAGTTTTAATGCAAATGAAACGTACCTCTGGTGTTTCAGAGGGAAAGCAGGAAATCCCTGACTGTATGTTTTTTAGTTAGTGCAGAATATATTACTCTATACTGTCTTGACCAAGCATCTTTATATGTATTTTACTTATACATTTCATAGGATATGCGAACAAGTTCCAATTTTCAGCTAAAAAAATGAATTTCATTCAGCCTATTGTTTTTAAAAAGAAATTGCATTGTTTTTCTCCCTGCTTATTGCAAAAAAAATGTTTCTATTGTTAAGTGTATAAACAGCATTTGTTGCCATGATCTCACAATTTTCTTTACCTCTGATTGGAAGTTCATTAGGTTCAGTCACTTGATTTCAAGGAAAGAGAAATGGTTTTTTTGCGGCTTCTAATACCAATAAAATAAGATTTTTTTGCTCTGCTGTTTCTGCAATTATGTTTAGTGAAATCTCTTACAGGTCCTTACATTGCCCATTCTGTCAATTTTCTATGTAGATCCCTGTTTTGGACAGATTTCACTAAATTTAAATGGTCTTTTTTATTAGTTTTATTCATTTATAACATAAAATGTGAAAATACAAAAGCAAACAGGGGACAACAGTAGAGAAAGGGAAAATAAAAAAGGTGTGAAGAAAGGGAGGGAAAGAAACAAAAAGCATTGACTTCCAACTTTCTCTGTTGCAGTAAAATCAGACATTAAAATCAAATCTCAACTGTTTACTTTTCTATAGTAGTGTGCACTAGCCATTTCTGTATCAGCAAATCAGTCTAATTGGTAAAACCCAAAATCATAGTATCATTTTTTTCTACCTCAAGCACAAAGTCCAGAAGTGGTTTCTAAGTAGAAACAAAAGTACTTATGCCCTTTTCTTTTATCAGCACAGTCAATTTGCCCATCTCTGCTAATTCCATCAGCTTTTGTAACCCTTTGTCCATAGTAGGAATCGAGGCATCCTTCCACTTTTGGGCATAGAGCAATCCTGTTGCCGTCACCATATATAAAATCAGAGTTACATTTTTTTCCCCAGATCTCCTTCCATTAGACCCAGAAGGAAAGGTTCTGGTTTAATCTTTATGTTCACTTTAAGAATTTTCTGCATTAAATTAAAATTGCAAAGTGGTCAGAAGAACATGGGTAGGTTTTTTTGTTCATTATTGACTCTGAAACATATTCAAGCAATGTGTAGATACGTTGATCCAGGTGATCACCAAGATTGCATCTTCATTATCATGCAATTTTTAAAAAGTCAAAGCTCAATGCTAGATCATACTTCATGTACACAATATTCATGAACACCTATTTTCCTGTATCTATCTGTTTATTAACTTTACCTTGTGCAATTTGCAAAAAGCAATCAAAAGTAAAGTGAGTTGTTGCTAAAGGCCATTATCCATAATAGAAACAAAATATGTATGTGAAATTAAAGCCAAACTCAGATTAAGAATGGTGCTTCCCATTTAAAATAGTGCCCCCAGTATACCCTATGTACAGAGATGATAAAAAGTTTATTGAACGGACAATGCCCTATATACATTCCTTGAATAACAGCAAGCAGGGCTGATGTCAAATCAAAAAAATACACAACACTTCCGCAAGGCCAATTAATGAGATGAGCTGTTATATAAAGCAAAACAGGAGTTAAGATCCAGTTTTGTGTAGTGGCTAAGATACTGGGCTAGAAAGCAAGATATGGTGATTTCTAGTTTTAACACCTGAATATATTGACTCTTATGGGTATATTTATCAATCCATAATCTTTTTTTCCTATATAATCCTCTTTTATTCAGAGATCTTTCAGAATTTTTTTCACAGCAAAAATATTTACTTTATTTGAAAGAAACCAACATACTGATTTGATATGACTTAATCAGAAGCCAGTAGGGTCAGCCTAAGTTAATAGCTGGAGGAAGACCACATGGGAGATCCAGGACTGGTGGCTAGTCAAAAAAACACAACAAAACAACACAGCCTCATCTGAAATGCTGCCAAAAAACTGCATGAATTCAATCACTAGCAGTCAAGCTTAACTCATTGTCTAACTTGGCTGTCTTTATTTAACCCACGGGTGTCAAACTCGCCATGTCACATGATGTGTTGTGATGTATCGAGAGTTTTTTAGCATTGCCAGAGCTGGGGTGGGCACGGCCTCTGCATGATGCAACCGGTCTGTGGACTGGCAGTTTGACACCCCTGATTTAACCACATGGCAATAAAGTGTTGAATGGTAAGATTGTGGCTCAGTTAAATTGGGCTTACAATATCTGCATTGCAAAAATCTGAATAGCCACTAGATGGCAGCAGCAAAATACTCTCAAGATTTCCATCTAGCAGTCAACTGGATTTTTGCTACAGAATTGGTAGCTCTCATTAAGCCCAGTGTGAATTTTGAATTTATTTCCAAAACTCCAGTCCAGCACTCTGAACGTACACACAACATACACACAGGCACACACAATCAGTTGTATTATCCTAGGCTTTTGGGCCTCTGTTTGGTTTCCTTGAAGAGGAAAAGATCTTCCCATTTTTATCGCCCTCTCATCCTAATATCCAGATCAAGGTCATTCACTTCTAACCGTAGAGCTTTCAAGAAGGGGACAATAAATCAAACTGGGCAAATTATTTGGCATTAAATTATCCCGCTTCCTAGTGGCTGTAAGAAGAGAGGAGAGCTGGAGTGATCCGCTGCCAATATGATCTGCTGCAATAAATAAGCAAAATGGCCAGTTTTCAAACTGGGAAAATTACACAGCCTTCAAGAACCATGGAGTTCAATGCCTCATTTTATTTTTCTTCCTTCTTGCTGGCTTCCCTGTATGGAAGAGGAGGGGGGGGGGGAGAACAACCCTGTCTGCAGCCCTTAAAATGGTATTTATCATTTACTGAAATGTTTACAGTAATTATTGCTTAACTGTGTCTATATAAACCATTTATGTTTCTAATAAGTTTGCTAAAAATGATACTTAATTTACCACCAAGGCACAAGCACTGACAGAGAGCTAAAAAAAATATTGGGATTAATAAAATAGGCCAGTATTGTTTGTTTACAGCAGAGAAAAGCAGGAACTTGCCATCTCAAGCAGAGGGAAAGCATTACATTTGCTGAAATTCCTTAGATCGTGGCAGAAATTACCTTGCAGGTTCTTCTGAACTTCCAATGCAATATCCAGGGCATTAAAAGGCAGAACTGGCTTGCTAGCAATTTGCAAAATTGCTTCGCCCGTCAACTGGAAAGAAAAAGAAAAGGAAAAAAGAATCAGACACTCGGGTGCATTCTAACATAATCCACAGGGTACTCTCCACCAAACACTGAGCTCCTAAATAAGCAGTTCCCATTAAAGCATCTGGACTGGCAGATAAGCACTTCAGCTTTCATGATGGATGTGTCACCTGGAATAGCAAGGTAGTTTTGAAGGCCACATTAAATGGCCTGCACAGCTTTACTTTTCAAATGAAGCAAATGGCTGAGGGGACACAGGAACCATTCATTTCAATGGGAGAGAAGCATAAAGTCCTGCACCTATGCAGACACCTAAACAAGCAGCACAGAAAATTTCTGGACTATTAAGCAGTATATCTTTGTATGGGACTCTGAAACAGATGATCAATAATGCAGGGTTTTTTTTTCCAAGGTTGGCAATGCTGTAAAATCCCTGTAGGTTATTTAACTTATAGATATCTTGTTGATTATTCTGCATTCCTTTAAAAAAATGAATGTCCTTTGGGAAAAATATCAGACTTGAAGAGGTGCAGTGGTTACCTTCTTACCTCTTTTTCTCTTTCCATAGCTATTGTGTTAGAATAACAATTAAGTTCTCAGGGCTTCCTGCACATCAAATTGCATTTGAGAATTTCAAAAGATGCAACTATGGAAGTTTCATATTTTAAAGGATGCCTATTCCTCCTCTCATGTAGTTGCATGACATGTAATTCTTTGGGCATCTTGCTAAATGTGTGCATGTTTCAACTGTCTTTGATTAACATTCTCTACAAGACCTACTGTATGTAACACTGAGGCTCTTGGTCTAATCCTGTTCCAGTTACTGGAGACCAGTGATTCACTGTAAGCTAGTTTTGGAAACTCAACAAATATTTGAATTCTCTCGAGTTGTAGACATTTATTGACCGACTTTTTTCAACACAGTCTGGCATAGATAGCAGGATAAGAGATTTTGGTACCAGGACATTGTTTTTTGTGTTTCATTTGGTTCAATAGGTCCCCTGAATCAACTTGCTCAATACAGAACTTTACTCTTTAAAGTAACCAATGGAGATTGTTACTTGTTAGCTGGGCCATGTGTTGAAAGTCTGGTTTGGGCACATTTGATATTGAGAGGTTAGCATATCTCCAAAAGATTGGAGGCATGGAAGGTAAAAGATGATGTCATTTTGATTTTTGAGAAGTGGGAAGCATTGGGTGTTCATTGGCAGGGGTTCAAAATATGCAGCTTATAGGAAAAGGTTGAGAAGAGAAAAAAAATGATCATGTCCCCTTGACAATAAGTAAGCATTGATGTAATATCAAGTATTTTTAATAATGGCACTCCATCTTTGGAACATCTTTTCCTGATCCATATGCTAGTGGCTTTTATGAAATTTAGGGATCAGCTATCCCAAAGGTGCTTTTTCAAAAAGCAACTGGACTTTCTTTGTTTTTCCTTGAAGAAGCTTCTTGGGTGAGAAGCAAAACAAAGAAAGTCCAGTTGCCTTTTGAAAAAGCACCATAGACATTTAGGCATAAGCTAAAATGTTTTTTTTTTTTTTTTTTGGCCAGAGATGTTTATCTTTATTATTTTATTTAGAGTTGATTTTGGAAAATCAGTATGTTCTACCCACTGACTTGGTTTTCCCTTTTCTATTACTGACATATAAAGAAAGGAGAAAAAGAGAAAAGGTAAAATAAAAGGTGTAATATATTGTTTTATCTGTAAATAGTAATTATATAGAGAATTGTAACTATTTTCAGCCAGAATGATATACCCTTTTTCCTTTTCTTTCATAATGCATGTATTTTTTATCTTTGTGTGCTTTTCCCCGCCATTTCTCTGTCATTATTTTAAAAGCCACAAAAGAATAAAGAGAGAGAGAGAGAGAGAGAGAGAGAGAAAGAGGGGAAAGACAAGGAGTGAAGCACAGAATGTATTCTTTTTTTATCTGTAAGGTACTCTGAGGTTACATTAAATATGTTTCATGCATACACATTTTCTCATATATGCACCTCATTGCTTGGGGAAAATAAACTAAAACTCATGAGACATTTCAAGTGCCTTTGTTTCACATAAACTGATAAGAAACTATCTTTGGAAGACTCACTTTTGAAAATAATTCTGCATTATCTGATGTTAGAATAGGAATATGAACAGATGCCTCTAAAACAATATGAGACAGCTAAATTGTATAAAAAGGAGAGATTTAAAAAATCTGAAAGAACTGTTTAAACACACACACACACGTACATGCACAAGCACACAGAATAAATACAATACAATACCAGAGTTGGAAGGGACCTTGGAGGTCTTCTAGTCCAACCCCTTGCTCAGGCAGAAAACACTATACCATTTCAGACAAATGGTTGTCCAGTCTTTTCTTAAAAACCTCCAGTTTTGGAGCATTCACAACTTTTGGAGGCAAGTTGTTTAATTGTTCTAACTGTCAGGAAATTTCTTCTTAGTTCTAGGTTGCTTCTCTCCTTGATTAGTTTCCATCCATTGCTTCTTGTCTTGCCTTCAGATGCTTTGTAGAATAGCTTGACTCCCTCTTCTTTGTGGAAACCTCTGAGATATTGGAACACTGCTATCATGTCACCCGTAGTCCTTCTTTTCATTAAACTAACATTAAGCTAAACTAAATATGCTGTTTAAGCAGGCAAATTGGATTTACTGGAATTTTGCAAAACACCAGTAGTATAAACCTAATGGACAAGGCTTCAGATAAATTTAAGATCTTAAGAATTGCTGTGATACATAATTTCCTTTCTTCTCCAAGGAGGTCAAAAGCAATGATTCCATGTTAATCTGCTTCTTAAAATGGAAGGTCCATGTTGCAATCTAAAATGTTAGCCAAAGATAGGGAATCTGTGTGGCCCTCCTCTTCTCTCCAGATGCTGCTGTACTACATTTCCCCTCAGCATGGGATGGAACAAGTTGTCTGAAAATACACGGAAACCATTAGCTAATCCTTAAAATGCTAGCAAGGGCAATTCTATTTGGAAAGACACCAGAACAGTGAGGGGAAAATTCATTCAATCCCCTGCTGATGTCAAAGTAGGGCAAGATATACTCTTGGAGTACAGAGGCAAAGAACATTTTAGAGAGAAGTTCCCTGACAATGAGCTCCTGCATGAGTCCAAAAGCTTGGAAGACAAAACCTCATGGTCCCAGTGACTGACTGACCTAAAATTGGATCCTGAAACATTATCCTGGTATATGTATATTCACCTTCATTCAGCAAAGAACATTATAGACTCAACTAAGTGAAGGAGTTTTTGAGGATAAATTATGATTATAGCTAAATAACATGGAAGATTTAAAAAAAAGGCAGGAAGAATTGTCATCTTCTGTGAAGGAAATGGTTGAGAACAAAGTTCTCTCTGGAAGGCAACTTGAAATTAGATGTTGTAAAAGTAAGAAGTGAAAGAGACAGCAAAGTAGAATACTGTATTCTGGCTGAATTTTCATACGACATTTAATATAATTTATAGTGCTGTTGAGAAGTTTCTTAAAGGGTGTCCTGAGATTCCAGCCATTGTGCTTACATAATAAATGAAAAAGGCCATGATCTTAAGCTATTATATATCTCAGTTTAAGCACGAATTCTGTGATTTACAAATCTGGACAAGAGTCAGCATGGCCTAGTGGATTATGAGTTGGAGAGGAGCAAGGAGACCCAAGTTTAACTCTTATTCAACAAGGAAGGTCAATTTCATTCAATCTATCTTATCTAGTGGTGGGATTCAGCCAGTTTGCACCACTTCGGCAGAACTGGTAGCTAATGTTTTGTTGCCCAGACCCAGAATGGACTTCCGAAAGCGGCATCCACACAGAGAACGGTTGTTCAGATATTTGAATCCTACCACTGATCTTATCCCACAGGTGATTATGGGTAAAAGAGAAAGAAAGGATGTTATATAGGCTTTCTTGACTTCCTGAATGGAAGACAAGGCATGTGCTTAATAATTAAATAAAAGCTAAACATAAAAGCTAGCCAAAGACTGGTTTTGTGCTTCAAATTAGTGATTTTTTTTTCACTCAGAAAGTACACTTAGAGCATTTATTTCGGGTAAGATAAATAATAACTGAATTAACATACTTAGCATCCACATAATGTAGAAAAGACCATTGTTTTCTCATTTATAGGTTCGAAAGCTAGCCTTTTGAAACATATTTAGACATATGTTCTGAATGATAAAATGCCCATTCACAACTGAATGGCTGAATATAAGAAGTGATAAATGAATCAGTGAAATCATCTTTTTTTTTTTTTTTTGCTTTAAAACAGGTAACAATTTCATTTATTTCTTGCATGGTATAGAAGGGTGAGTATGCTGCAGATGAAGAATTTATTATCTGTTGATTATTCTTTCTTATTTTTTAAAATTTATTTCCCCCTATGTCATCATTTCATCTACAGCCTGTATTTTTCCTGTTCTTCAGTACACATATGGATTTACACCCACCCAAGTGAGTAGAAGACAAAAATAAAAGATTCACGGGACACCTGCACACTAATTAGAGGTGGTTATATTGTAAAGGACAAACAAGGAAAATATATAGCTAAATCAATAAAAGAAAAAAAAATGTGGAGGGACTTTTAGTTAGCATTAAAGAAAACATATCCCCTAAAATCTATCTATAACATTACACAATCCTTCGATTTCAATTCAGTCTATCTTATCCAGTGGTTTCAATTGTTTGTTAAACAATATTAATATTATTATTAGCATTATTGTTTTTTTTTAAAAAAATACAATATGATTATTATTAGCAGTTTTGATTTGCATAGCTAATTTAGCTGGTCAGGGTATATCTTTAGATTTTAAACAGACAATTTAACAAAATGTTGCCTGTCACAGAACACATTTTGGGTCAGTAGAGGGCTCTCTGACAAAAGACAAGAATAATTCAAAAGCTACCCTGCTGTAGTAGATAACTTGGAACATAGTAATCCAGTAAAATCCAGTATCTTTCTGAATAAAATTGGGATTGATCATTTTAATATATGCTGGTAT